AGTTTGTGAGAGATTTCATATATGATTTTTGTGTGTACAGGATGAAGAAGTATTATTTTGATCATTTGATCAAAATACTATAACTAAATTTTCATTCAATCCAAAATAATGCATTTTTGATTGTGAGGAATGTTTGTTGTAGGATCAAATCATCTCCAATGATGATATAGCAGTAGAACCGAAAAAGGTTACACTGATCCTTGGATTATCTTTTCTAATGCCATTGATCATATTGATACAATTCCTTGGTATGATGAGATACTATCAACGGTTCATACTTCTTACTTCTTTGTCAAATCTCATGCCTTGATTAAGGGGACAAATTACAAACTCATCTTCAAGGATGAAGAAGCTAAGTTGGCATTTGATGTTCTCAAGAAGGTGTTATTGACGGCTCCAATTTGGTAAAAATCAGATTGGGGTAAATCTTTTTTTCTTTAAGCGAATGCATCATATATTGCTGTAGGTTGTATCTTGAACAAATTTAACCTAAGGATCTTGCATCAATATATGTTATGAAATCTTACAATTTGAAAGGTTATTGTTAGTAAAGATGTCTCTTTAATGAGCCAAGAACATTGAAAAAGCAACAAAACATGGATGAATCATCATTTCCAACGCCATTGAGAGGAAGATTGATCTTTATATTTTTAATGACATGCACAACAAGAAAGTTTTGTGCAAGAAAGTATGATTTTTGAACAACAAAAAGTTAAGGAGCAATCATGTATTGATGGACCTTTGACTATAACACTAGACTATCAAGGTCAAGTTGAAACAATTACTAAAATATTTTCAAATAGATCTAATAAAGCTTCTGAAAGGTATGCAATTGAAACAAATTCTCACACAATCAACTCTTCAAACTTGCTTGAAAGTCTCTTCTCTATCTCTCTATTTATACCACTTAGAAAATAACCATAAAAATAAATGATAATTATTATCTAATTTACTTTTATCAAGATAAATCTACGTATATTTGACTAATTTTCAATACGTGACAACATGTTATTGACCTATCTAAAATTTCTAGAAACTTCTTTGTTCCTAGGTTAAGGTGAGGACATGTCATTTCACAACTCCAAAATGCTAGATATCTTTGTGCCACTAAGTTAACTTTAGACTTAATTACTAAGTTAAATCCATCAAAACTATCATGTAATCAAGGTGTTATGTACTTGGAATCTAGACTTTGATAGAAGACAAAATATAAAAATTCACCAAAATTTTTTAGAGCTAGCCTAATTATTTCTCCAAGTATGTATATCATGGCTAAATTTATTCATAACTAGCTATACTTAATTATAATTAAGATAATCTTGATGAACTTATTGATTAATTTTATTAGTAATTTGCACCTACAACAACACGTATTACACACCAGATTTTAGTCTAGCTATAAATAGATAAAGTAAGAAGATTCATATCCAATCCAACTAAAGTCCAATAGGAGGGAGTTGAATATCATCTTAGATACTTAAAAGGTAGGAATGATGTTGAATTGAACAATGCCAAATTTCTGATAGATTACCTAGATGCTGATTATGACAAGTATTTACAACTACAAAAGTATACATCAGAATATGTCTTCACACTTGAGGTTAGATGCATTACTTAGAAATTAACTTTGCAAATTATATTTCTTAATTAACTACAAAAGCAAAAAATTCAATTTGATCGGACAAGCTTATCACTAAGATGAGATTAAAACATGATGTTGTTAGTCTCTATTGTGATAATCAAAGTGTCATTCACTTTACAATTCATCAAATTATGAATAGTAGAGTGAAGCACATTGAAATTCAATATAATTCTTCAACAAGCAATGTTAGAGAAACTAATTAAACTTGTCAAAATTTGGTAAATAAATCCAAAAAATGTACAAATTATCATTCATAATTAATGTTAGATACGTATTATATATTTTACTATCATGCATATCAGCAACTATATATCAATTGTCTATCTAACTAATGGTGAAAAGTTTGAATATATAAATAGCTAACATCTTAGCAAGTAAGCATACTTGCTAGTATTGTTACAGACTAGCTAGTTTTAAAAAAAAATATTTATCATATTAAAATTTTACAATTTGAAGAAAGTTGAATAATGTCCAGAAATCTCTTTATCATATATGTATTAAATTATTTAAAATTTATCTAAAATTTCTACATTGTTGCATTCATCATTTTTTCTATGGAAATTTTGTAATTTTTTTCTGGAGAATTCAAGGAACTACGTTTATAATACTTTATTTAAACGTTTTGATTTTTGCAATCTTGAAGAACATTTTAAATATACCAGTTGATTCATAAAAATATTCCAGAAGATATTTCTTGTATCTACTGAAATTTCGAAATAAGACTTTTGTGGAAGAAAACTAAAAACTCTATATTTTAATAAGAAAGCAATTTTCCTTTACTTTTAAGTATTTGACTCAAAAATATGTTTACTTATTTGAAAAATGAACTAATCAATATACTTGATTGTATCTATAATCCTCATTACTGATGATTATGATGTGAAAAAAAGTTCAACATAATTGTTCTGAAAAATAATTTGACACATAGAGTTTCATTAAAATTATATATTAAAACATACAATTATTAGGTTCGAAAATATTCTTTCGTAGCCCAGCAATGATATACATAAAGAATATTTTACGAGCATGTATCTGGGAAAAGTTTATTCTTTTATGCAAACATAAAAGTTCATAAAGTCATCATGCTCTAAATCTATTTTTAATTTTCTAAAAATTGTAGTCTTATGAACAATATAGACTGAGTATGACTAATCTTTTATTTGACTTAGATTTAAAAATATCTTTAACGTTTTTAAGAAGATCTTTCAGTTTTGAGAGTATAAAAATCTACTTTATTTCATTTCATATACATCAATTAAAATGTAGATGGGAATTCATTTCATAAATATACACTCTACACGTTAGTGAAATGAAAATTTAACATGTAGAGTGGATATTTTTTGTCTATAATTAAGATATTTATTACATTATTCAAAAGGTTGCGTAGACTGATTCTTTTGTTGTAATCCAGGGCAAGTTGTTAAAGTTGTCAAAATGAACATCCCTCCCGTTTTGTATATGCATACACATAATTTTGATCTAAAATTTAAATTAAAAAATCATTCATTTTTCTTCTTTTTTCATCTCTACATTTTTTTGTTAATTTCACCAAATTATTGAAATGAAGACAAAATTATGTGATAATTGATAGTAATGTTTTACAATCACTTCTTGATATTATTTGTGCCTTGCACGTTAAGGCATCTCTACTCTTCTTTCTTTAATCCTTTAGGTTATGTAAGCAATGATCAAAATATAACGATAATAAAGTAAACAAACGCATTGGTATACATGTTACAAGAATCATAATCCAATTCATGATTTTGAAGTAATTCAATATGTAGTTACTCAGGCATAGTTAGAATACAAGATATTTACTTGATGGTACCCCATCGAAACCTAAAATGCTTACCGGGACACTTTAAGTTTTGTTTTACCCTATGGGATTCCACCGACGATACACGCCAAGGATGTTCTAGTATTAACAGAAGGTGCAGGCAGTGCAACTTTGTCGCATCGATCTTCTTATGCAATTTTTTTTCTAGTGTGTCTGCAAAATTTTTACACTTACAATATCGAATAGGTGAGAGAAGGCCGAGCCCAAGCCTTTTCGCAACCGTACTTCAAAATCCTTGCAATGGTGAGAGGTGATCTAGCACAGATCATCGGAAGCGGGATTCCTTTGTAGTGGTAGATACGGGGCAATCGAAGAAAATGCAACGGCAGACATGATTGCTTGATGGGACCCCTGAGAAACTGAAATTACTTGAAGGGAGCCAATAGGTTTCATTTTACCCGATGCTACCCCACTCAACGTCACACCGTCAGCAATGTTCGCATATTACAAGTTACATCATAGTGGATCCGTCGTTGGGTTAGAAGAAGTGCTCCTCGTGACGAAATTGGCGCTGTCGTTCATTCTATCCAACAGGGTGGAGAGGCCAGACATGGGGGAGGTTATGAATGTTCTCACGGAGTTCCTGCAAATGGAAGGCAAAATGGTTGAGCATCGAAAACACGCTGCTCACCCATACTCTTGACAGCTGAAGCCTGGATCTCCTCCAGAGGCTTTCACACATACTTCGGACTCTTACCCATCATCTCAGATTTACACTCATTCACCTTGGAACACGGATCAGATAGATCGATCTTGAGAGGCAACGGATGTCAATCGATCTGTTGAGGCTGAGATTCCATACGTGATTCGCTTCAATTCAGATCTTAGCTTCCGTTGTCAAGCACAAAGTTTCCTTTGAGTTTATATCCAGGTAGGAAGTTCTCTGTGTTTTTTCAGATCCAGATCTAGCAAGATGCTATTGGGAGTACTTATCATCATGGTGCGGATGGAACGAGTTCCCAAATTAACCTCAATGGAGAAAGTATTTTGGCCCAATAGTGGCAAACACTATCCACAGTGCAACACAAATAATGAGGTTATAAAAACTTTGATTAGAACATGTCCGACGGTGACCTGCATGGAAGTTGAGTGGGGTACCATCAGGTAAATTGAAACCTATTGAGTCCCATCAAGTAATTTGAGTTTCCCAGGAGTACCATCAAGCAATTATCTCTACAATACACTGATTGTAACTTCTAGACTCTCGACAACAAAAACTGCTGAAAATCTTCAAAACTCATCCCAAATTTGCTATGCATACAAGAACACGTTTTAGAACTTCGTGACATTTTGCCGTAGGTAGAGTACCATGGGATAAAACTAAATTTGAGAAAAATCAAACAATTTAGGTTCCCATGGGTCCCATCAAGTAAATACTTGGTTATAATACTGAAAGTCTGGTTCAGTATCCACCCGGAGCCCGTTGGTTGCCTAGGGAAAGGCTATGGACCTTGGGGGAGCACTTAAAGAAACGAAGTCTCTTGCGTTAGACAAGAGGTTCAAGACTGCCCAAAGAAGAGCCAAGAACTGTCTTTCAGACAAATGAACTCTCCAGAATCGGGGCCTGGGGCAGTATTGAGTCTCAAGCTTCCAGGAATCTAGCCCTACGTGCAGCAGAAGGTAAAAGAGCTTGTAAATGAGCCATTGTTGCAAATCCATACTTTGGCACTGAAACTGTCACAAGTGCAGATCAAAAGTCGAAAGAAGCTTCATTACGCAGACCATGTTCTTGTTCTCGATAACTCCGGAAATCATCTACCAAAACTGGAGTTGGTCAGGAAAGAATCAAGAGCATGGAGAACAATTTTCAGGAGGGTATCTCGAGGGGTTGAGTTTGCCACTGTCATGGTCATTTTCATGCAATGAACATCTCTTGCGTAGGAAGGGAGCTGTAGGAGTGTCCACGGCATCCCAACACAGCAGCAGGCAGTATGGGACTGTGCCTCACAAGATCCATGCTCACGCTCATAAGACTCGCAGCTACTGGATATGCACTTCGTTATCTCCAATGGGCTTGGAAGAGAGGCATTCAAACATGCAAGCACACTATCACTTGCAGCTGTAAAACCTGAGAAGATAACGCATTAAAGTGACTTCGTTGGTGAGGTGGACTTAAGGAGGAATGAATGTTCTGGACTGAAACAGTAAATGAGAAAACGAGCAAGCTGCATCATTACAATTATTGTTATTTATATTATTGATATTATTGTATTCTTGAAATCGGTTTGGACTCTCGAACGTCTAGCTTGCGATGTAAGACACGTCGGGGATCTCGTTCACATGGAGAAAATTCAGATGGAAGAAAACAGCCCAGCCAGCCCAACCAATCAAGACTCGAAGAATCCATAGCAGAGCAATTTCAAAAATTGTCTGTTCGTCTCGAGTTCTTTATAGGGATCAGGGATAGCGAGTTGTATGTGTTCTGGAATACCTGCAGATGTTGAATATGATGTGAGATCTTTTCTTGGAAATATAGACGGTTACGTTCTCGTTTCGATAAGTTCTTTGTTGATGTCATTGCAAAGAAGTTAGTCATGGATGAAGACGCTTCTCTGCCAGAAAGAACTCTTTTGCTCTGCAGTCGATATTTCTGAAGTACTGCGTAAGTGGCAAGTAATATGAAGTACAATCTGAAGCAGGACTTCTGATAAGCGAGAAGGTGTTATGATCGATAAGAAGACGACTGCAGATTGTGATCGACCGGCCGGTCATATCATGGTTCGAAGCTCCGAGATAGAGGATATCAGAGTTTGTGGCTTTTTTCATGCGATGATTCGTGCCTGAGTGACTGACTTACGACACACTGTAGTCAGAGAAACACACACGCAAGTCCTGCTTTCTTTCAGCTCTCTCAATCGCCAGGACAGAATTATTGTTCGTCGGTTGTTTTGCGATCTGAATATACATAAAGTTATCCATTCGCGACTTGCAGGATTATGGACTTCTTTCGTTGACTCTGGCACGTTCATGTTCTTGAGGGAGATCGGGGAAGGCGAGCAATGGAAGGAAATGGAATGGAAGACAAGCTCCTCTCGCTGAAGCAGAGGCTGGAACGACAGGTACAGGTCACTTGGTCAAGCTCGAGTCTTGTATAGAATAGAAAGCCCACTTCTGGACATTCCAACGACGACCGCATGCCCGCCCGCCGGCGTCAAAATATGGGATCGGGTGCAGGTACATCCAACAAACTGCGTAACGTTCTGCACGTCGCGTTTTGAGAATCTCGAGGTCACACGACGTTCATGACCGAATCCCAGCAGACGCAGCGAGAGGGAGACTGTAAATGAAAACCGCTCTTTGCAGCGAGCATCAAACCATGCGCGGATCGGAGCGGGGCATGGCGCGGCAGTCAGGCGTGGTTTCTGGGCTCTCGGTTCCGTCGATGGCTGGCTCTTAAGAAAATGCGAGATGGATTATCAAGTGAACGTGATAATCTAATCCGATCCGATCTGATCTGTACCGAGATGATATGAGATGAGATGAACTGAACTTGGCATAGCGTAGCATCAGGTTCGGGCCTGGGCCTGGGCCTGGATGGAACCTGTTGTTGCTGTTGGTTGCTGTTGATGCAGCTGGAGGGCAATAGCGAGAGTGTGCAGATCGGGAGAACAGATGATGACACAATCACTTGGGTGTTAGAGAGAGACGGGACTTTGGGTTGGCTACTGGGACCGAGCACTCCACTGCACTGCACTGCACTGCAACAGACATCGTCATCCGATGGGTTCCTGCACTGCACGAAGGCCTTCATAGCGCAGCAGCGAAGCTAGGCTCAGATTGTTATACGAGCCCTTCGTCCTCAGATTCGGACAATGGTCAGGCCAGTGACGACCGGCTCGCTTTCCACGAGGCCATCCATGGCTCCATGACATGTCAGGACGATGGTGCGCAAGGACGAGGGCCGGGGCGGGCGATCCTCTCTCTCTCTCTCTCTCTCTCTCTAACAGGCTTATCAAGACTCCGTCCAGAGGAAACTCGGGTGTGCACTGACTGACTGCTCTGGAGGGCATTGGTCCGTTCAAGGAGGACCACCCCGGTCCATACCGCACGATGATCCCCTCGCTTGATACGTTTCTGACCGACCTTAGAATGCTCTTGTGCTCTTCCATTGCAGAAAAAAATGCTCCACGAGAGATCGTACTCATAGACTCAGATTTTGCTTGACTTGCTCCGTCCTGAGAAAAGACAGCGGCGGGGGATAAACATATTTCCATGCTCCGTCGAACGCCACCCACTGCCATCATCATCATCATCTCTGCTCGAATGGGATGGAGTGCTCTTATGATCCGGGGGCAGCCCAGGCCAACTGAAGCTTTCACATGCCAACGAACTTCATCATCTCTCCGCGACCGGCTGGTTCGGCCATGTGTCTCCGAGGTACTTGCGAAGTAGGCGTATGTTAGGTGGGCACCATAATGGATAGCCATGTCAATTCACAAGGAGGATCCCGATCCGGTGACAGCTCCATGACGACAACAATTTCTGGATCTACAGAGGCTCCACAGAGCACTCTTCGGAGATCACCGATGGCCGCGCACAAAATCAGGTAAAGAACCCGTGACTATTCCTAACCAACGAAGCCCACGAAAAGAACCCGTGACTAATGCGAATGAAACGATGGCCAACAACTGATCTTTGCAGCGGTACGTGCGTACGGCCTTCGTGCGTCGTGTATATTAGCCAAAATGCCGGTAGTCTTTCGAAGATTGAAGGGAGAAGGGAGAAGCTCGGACGGTCAAAAAGAGCAGTTGAGACATCCCACCTGAAATTCACACAGTCCTGTCTGTACAGTCCTGACCATCCTCCATACCGTGATAGACAAATGCCAATGCTCCACGGCGGTGGACGAGCTGGGAAGGCAAAGGCTAATGCCAACAGCATGTAAGCACCTGCCGAATATGATCTCCGAAGTAATTTCTTAACAATGAGCACTTACTAAGGATACTGCATACTTTAGTGTGAGCGAGTGGTGCGAACGGGAGCGACTGACACAATAAATCAGAATTCGTTTGGGGCATGGCTGCGAGTATTGAGTACAGTAGGTGAATGAAAGCCTCCTAGTCTGTTGAATTTCATCGCTGGCTGTTCACCGTTGCAAATGGTACATTTGCCAAAGTTAAAGCATTGACCCACGACGTACAGTATGTAAAAGCCATGGGTGCCTGTGTGCATAATGGCAGCAACTGAGCACAACATTGACTACGGATTCAAGTTTTGAATGAAGCACGTGGCCAGAAATTGCTTGTGTGTCACATCACGTATGACGGTACCCTGCACCTTCTTTTCATTCACCTCACCGACTTGTTAAAACCGGCCAACCAGCTCCACAACAGTAACAAAGACACAACTACAGTCCAATGCTGCAAGGTACGGAGTCGATTTCGTACTCGGGCTAGGTCATACATGTGGACAGACAAGGACTAGTGATTCTCCACTGACGATGAATATGCAGCATCATAACCAAACGACCAGGCGGGAAAGGTTGATCGCGAAAAGTATATCCGATTCGTACATGTCATATGAAAACTTATGGCTAGGACCAAGATCTACCACTAAATCGGGAATAAAATGACTCATATGCAGTTATTGGCTTCGACCGAATCTGCACCGCCATCGTTCACCCAAACTCAGTTTTGCTGGTCAAACGCTCATGCTGCATAAACCCGCCACTCTGCTGCAAGGGCTTCTTTCGAGCTAAAGACTTGCTAGAAAAAGATTCCTAAGGACGACAAAAGCCAATCGTTTTGTCAGAGTCTCCTCTGGAAAATAACGGCTGTAAACTTGTACTATTGAACGTAGCAATGTGTCTACGCAATGGTGGCATAAAACTACAAGGGTTGTGCCAGTCATATGTTTGCACTACGATCGCAAGAGATAACTACTGACGCACCAGCAAGTTGATGCATTCCAGCAGGATGGATGATTGTCTCTGTACAGTATGATAAGAAACATCAGCAACTGCAACCTTGCCAACGTGCTACTACTACAATGACATATTACAAAGATTCCAACTGTAAAGAAATTTCAGCGACTTCTTTATATTTGGAATCTCCATAATAAATTCCGTGGTACACAACACTCGAGATGATCTTTTGCCAGTAGATACTTTCGTGCCAGTATTTCAATATAGTACATGTATTGACGATGAGTGGTACGAGGTAGTTCATACAAAGCTGTACTTCCCTTGAGTGGGGTTCACAATCAAATGGACATCTTGGACTGGTGAGCTTTTCGAGAGATGTAAAAAGTCAATTTTAAGGCTAATATAAAGGTGAAAAGGGATACACTCCTATCAGTCTAAGCTTCACGTTTGACTTCTGACAACCTCTCCTTATGTACAAAAAACAATCCAAGAAACACCTGTTGGTACTGATCAGAAGCTCTTACTAGAGAAAATTGTAAGACTCTTTTACAATTGGCATGAAACTGCGAATGTATTTATTTGTGGTCAAATATTCATCACCTAACTTCTTACGAGGCTACTTGGTTTAACTCGAGCTATGGCTGTGTCTAAGTGACACACTCTAACCTCTCTGGCATTGACGTCCTCCTGCAAAATGTCCACCAATACATTAATACGTTTCTCCAAAGAAACTACAAAGAAGCTGACTTGTATAACCGGATAACGAGTAGGTTGAAAGGGCATAACCTCTAAGGCGATCATGGCAGCTTCCCGACATACAGCTGATATATCAGCGCCAGTATAAGACGAAGTCATGGCTGCCAAAGAGCTGATGCACACATCAGGGCTACAAGGCATTTTGCTTAGGTGAATGCCAAATATCTGCCGTCTCGCATCCTCATCAGGTGGACCAACGTAAAGGATGCGATCAAATCGTCCTACATGGACAACATACAAAGGGTTATTAATAGTATTACAATTCCAGCTTGAAACGTTGCTGTAATTTGAAACAAGAACCACGTCTCCGGCTGTTAGTCATCAGTAAACAACTGGGCCAAAAGTTTGACAGTGAGTTAAATTGGACGCAAGCAGTGCAGTAAGCCAATTTGACATCCATGTTCCATAGACATAGCTCTTTCATTACGAACATATATCAATTTAATCAAATAACGTTGACCGAGTAAAATTCAAAACATGCCAGGATGAGGGCATTACCAGGTCGAAGAAGGGCACTGTCTATGATATCAAGTCGATTGGTCGCAGCAATCACTGATATACCTTTCATGGGAACCAACCCTATTGACAAAACAAAGCAATTTTATATCAACAATAGCTGACACACAAACTCGATGCAGATACTGCAAAATCCTTGACATTTTGTAGCGCTGTAATTGTGTTGCCCTCTATTGCATAGTTTACTCTATGTTACAAATAACATAGTACATGATCAACCTCAGGGGCTTAGCATGCAAGAGACCGAAGCAGCTCAAGCCTAGGTGTCACGTCTGAAGGCTGCTACTAGATGGAAGACAATAACAAAAAAACTGAGACTTCTCGTGCACAGACTGACATTTACTCTATGTTACACACTACACAAAAAACAATCTGTATAATATATAAGTTATTCCATAATATAGACTACTATGCATATGAGACGTATTGATCTCACAAGATTGAACCTACCACAATTGTAGAAATGCTTACCATCCATCTCTGTGAGCAGCTGGCTCATGACCCTGTCTCCAACAGAAACTCCCTGGCCATGTGAGCTTTCCCGTTTCACAGCAAGACCGTCTATCTCATCAAAGAAGACGACCGAAGGTGCAGCTGCTCTTGCTCTCGCGAACAGACTCTTCACAGCTTTTTCTGACTCACCCACCCATTTGCTAAACAATTCTGGTCCTTTTACAGCAATAAAATTGAGACCAGTTTCTGAAGCAACTGCTCTTGCCATGAGTGTCTTACTGCAGCCAGGAGGTCCATGCAGAAGTACACCATGGGGAGGGTCCACTCCCATGCGCGCAATTGCAGCAGTTTGTTTCTGCGGCCACTCCACTATCTCCTTCAATTTTTGTTTGACGTCGTCATGACCCCCGATGTCGTTCCATTTCACTTTTGGAACTTCCAGAGCGACCTGATTTCCCAAACAGAGTCATAAGGCATATTATCATCAACTTAGCCAAACCCATGGGGAATATTGATGTAATAAAAAGACTGACAACTACGATGGACATCTGCGACATAAAGAGCAATTTGATCTCTTGATCAATTCTTAGTAGATGTTCTTCATTTCCAGTAGTATAAAAAACTTGCAAGGAAACTTCTCCCTGATAAATGAAATTCAGTTTAGATATTTTACCTCTCGCATTGCACTGGGTCTAACCTTTGTCTTTGCCACTTGAAAGTCGTGAACTGTTACCTCTGACAAAGACTCTTGACCTGAGAACCAACAAAAATCATGTCAAAACCACTATCCAACTTAAGCTATTTTATGACTACTCAGCTCTTAAGGTAAATCTAGTTTTAGAACATAAGTATATTGTATCAATCAATCGCCAGCACTTTCCAGCAACTACGAATGAATAACGAAATAAAACTCAATCTCACCCAGTGAGAGCTGTTTTTGAAAGTTGCGAAGATCTAGTGTAACAACGTTCGATGACTCCTCTCCACGACCGATTCCTTTTGTGAGACTCGATTGGCGGAGGTGGACAATCCGGCGCAGTGTGGACATTGCAGCCTCATTACATAGTGCAGCAAGGTCAGCACCAACAAAACCATGAGTTGTAGCAGCCAAGTCCGAGATATCGGAGTCGTTCAAAGTATGACGAAGGTCTCGAAGAAGAACCTGTAATATCCCTAGTCTATCAGAGGGAGATGGTACTCCTGCATACCCATCACATATTTTAGAAAACCCTCACAATCTCGAAACCGGTAAGAAGTGATTCAGACTCAACTGAAAAGACAAGAGTAAAACTTTACTCACCAATCTCAATCTCCAAGTCAAATCTGCCAGGTCGTCGTAAGGCTGGGTCAATGGAATCAATGCGGTTGGTAGCAGCTATGACCAAGACCCCCTTAAGATTGTCTTCTGCTCCACCATCCATAACAGTCAGCAAAGCAGCCACCAATCGCTGTGCCAGTTCTTCACCTCCCTCCTTCCGCTCTGGAACGATAGCATCGAGCTCATCAATAAACACCTTCAAACATGAAATTGTATGGATCACTACACGTGCAAACCAATCAAAGAGAATGCCTTGTATGTGTGCTTATTCAAAAGCAACAATGTCTTCCAAGTTACGATCTTGAATAAATGAACTAATGATAGCGGAAAAATAATCATATCCAATCAACAAGCTGAGGCTACCTTACCACTGATGGACCTTCTTTTGTGGCTGTGGAAAAAACAGCCCTAAGCGCTGATTCACTCTCGCCGTAAAATTCACTGATTATTTCTGGACCATTTATTGCGAACATCTTAACACCAGCTTCACAAGCAGCTGCCCTCGCGAGTGAACTTTTTCCTGTGCCAGGTGGTCCGTAAAGAAGGACTCCCCTTGCAGGTTGCAAACCGTATCTGTGGTGCACAGACAAGGTACACGATAAGGAGATAACAAGAAAGCTGTCATAGAAAGTCAAATGATAATTTCCAGAAACATCTAAACCTTCCGAAAATTGTGAGCGATGTTCTCACCAATTTGATTCGCAACAACCATTGAGCTCAAACCCAACCGAGCCAAAAGAGGAAATATTGTTACCTTGAAAGTATGTGAGGGTAGATTAACGATAATTCTACTTGTTCCCTTATCTTCTTGATTTGTGCAGACAAACCGCCCAAGGAAGAATATTCAATTCTACCCACATCCGCACTCGATCCTTGTACTTTGTCTCCTTCGACAGTTTCTGAGCATGCAGAAGTGACCACATCGTGCTGTGATTCTGCAACAGACTCCTCTTTCTTCACTGTTGGCGGGAGCAAAGTAACTCTTGTATTCAAACTCATACGATACAAGGCAACTGGTTCTGGTGAGAAAGCACTGACTTTTATGTCCTCATGAATTTCATGATTGTAAGGACTAGAAGTTATCTTTCCTGTAGAAATATCCGACTGAACTAAGGGTTTTGTTTCCGTGACCAGCATCATGCAGTCAGCCCCACACAACGAAACATGCACAACGTTGCCTGGAAGTAGATACCGGCCTGCAAGCCAGCGCGCAGCAAAGCCTTCCATAAGACTTCTCACATTCTCCTTTCCCTTTCCAAATGCAGCCCATACGGAGTCCCAACGCTGCTGAACAAGGGCATCGTTACTTTGTTCCTGTTCAATTGTATTCTCGTTAGATTCTCGTCCCGCTGGCGACTTTGTGCTGCCTGAAAAGGGGGACCGGCTTGCAGGGGAAGACGAGACTGCTCTGCCTTTGTCTGATTCCTGATGTCCTTGACGCCTTGGAGTGCTCACAGATGGTGAGGACATTGCCAACTCCTCCTTGCTAAATGATGGAAACCTACGGAGGACGGGAATGAATTCCGTTTGTTGTGAATGTTGTACAGGACACCACCGCAAAGATATCTCAGAGCACTCATAAACAACTACAGGCAATGCTCCGATAGGATCATCTCTTTCGATAATAGCTCGCGTTGCATCCGCATTTGCAAGTTGGCTCTTGAGTAAATTTAGAGAAAGACTTGTACCAGGGACAGGAGAACCCAGAGAATACGAGAGGACTCTCGATATCCTCACCTCATTCTTGACCAACTGCAAATGTATAAAACTCGCCGTTTAGATGACGTTCGAGAGTTTGCCTTTCCACCAGTAATATAAACTTCTCGCCATCAAGGAGTGGGAACGCCAAACTGATACCACTCGTTTGGCTGTTTTTAAAAGGAAACGAAACTGTAACATTTGCAGTTTGAGATTGATAGGAGAACGCGTTCGTTTGCTTATTGAGTTTTGAATCCACAAAACCGCATACATTGGTTGAAAACGACGGGAAATCTCGCCAATGCCTGGAGTGCTGCTAACCGTACAGGAAAAGAAAAGAAAAGCTGAATTGAGAGTTTCGCACCTTTTTAGACGGCCAAGCGATAGAGACAGCCATCGCCGCACCAAAAGTTGAATTACGGGGCACTTCCAGTCCGCATTCCATGACTGAAGCATCCCGTACTGACTCCAAGGATCCACAGATCGCCTCGGGGTGGCCAATGGGAGCTAAAACATTGACCTACGCAGAACACGCCATGTGTAAACGGACGAATATGATACTTCTCTAAACTCCTTAAATTTGGTAGAAAAAACTCATTGAGCCCGCATCTATCAATCTACGGGTCGCAAAAGTCATCTTCACATCCAGAAGACACTGTAAGAATTTACAGTTCGCCGAGGGGTTTAGTATTGGGGAAAAATGCCTGCATATGCAAATACATACATATACGAGGCTTCCAGTAGAGATTGAAGTAGACAGCATGGCCTGCTCTGACAACCATATCACCGCCCTGCCCTTTGAATCCTTGTCATCCACGGCAACAACTGTTGCATTGAAGCTACCTGAGCAGAATTCACCGTCACGCCTCGGAGTTCCCAACGTCCCAATTCTGCCGCTCGCAGGTGTCTGCGGAGGTGACGAGTTTGTCCTCGGTGGTGGTGTGGACCTGCCATCTGCAAGAGCAGCCAAAGGCAGGGGAGGCTTGGATGGAGTCGAATGCCCTCCGGTCGAGGAACGCCTCTTGTTGCTCGGCATCTGAAAATGGATTATGACCCGTATGCCTCAATCGGCTCAACTTCTTGTCGTGTGACAGACCGCGTCACACCGTTAAAGGAATTAAGCACCATATAATCCTGCACGCATCATCAGTCACCAGCTCGTCTAGGCTAGCGAATGACTGCGGCGGAAAACGTCAACGCAGAGTTCGAAGTGAGTTTCGACGGTGTCTGGCCTGCGCTGCGCGACGCAGAGGGACAGGCAAGGAAGCATCGAGTGAGGGTTCTCGTAGCATGTCATTTCCAGTCCAGCTGCAGAGCAGAAAAGACTCCGAATTACCAAGTAGATCTGCGCAGGATCATTTGGTTCAGGAGTTTGTCACAGCCATCGTCAGCATGAGCTCGGAGAAGCATAAACCCTAAACCCTAGAACCCAATTCTCGTCGCCCTCCTCTGTGCTTACCGAAGATTGTCGAAGCAGCACGACGACCACAGGACCCACCTGTCAACCGCCAATCTGGCCCCCGGGCCCCAACGACCTCTTTCAGCTGAACCCTGATTCAAAACCCCGAAAAGAGCACGGAGCTCCAGCGCTCTCCAGTCCGCAGGCCCAGAGGGCGACGGGTACGTGGGCAATGAGTCAATCCGATCCGCGGTTGGTTGGTTGGTTGGTTCTTCCTTCCTTCCGATTTCTTTGCCTGCTTGCTTTCTTTACTTAAGTCGCGCAGATCGACGACGGCGACTACGACAGACGAAGACGACCCCAGCGATGGGGAGAGTGAGTCAGTGCAGTGCGGGAGATTCCGGAAAAATTGGAGTGACGAAGTCGTGACGCCTCGTCTTGAAACGCTGGCTCGCTTCAGGAAGGATGTGGCTCTCGTAGGTGGTTCGACAAGTTCAGACGCTGGCAATGGCAAGGATCTGCAGATGCAGCACAAGATTCCGCTCTCTGTCGAAGGGATCAATCATTAATTGCTCCTGGGGGCCGAGTCTACTGTAATGCCCATTTCGTACGTCTTGCCTCGCCAGACGCGACGGGACCGGACCAGACCAGAACTCTCGTTCGGGCTCCCAGGCCGACGAAGAATATTTCGGGGACGGTCGACCCACAATCGGACCGGCGCATCTTCGCGTCCCCGCCGTCCGATTCGCTTTCCTCTTTCGCCCTCCGTCACACGTGGATTGTACGCAGCGCTGTATGGCACTGGTCTACGTCAACGTAAAAACCGTTTTCTCACCGCGTTCGTCTCCGGCTCGGGGTGCATCGGGTTTGGCGAGCGCGGCCTCCTGCTGCTGCTGCTGCTCGTCATTCATTACCATTGAAATTCATTCATTCATTCTTTCTTTCGCTCTTCTTTCGTCGGTCCTTCCGGCGGATCAGAGACGACATAATTGGGGACGGGAGCGGATAAGTGGGCTACGACGCCTGTGTCCGAAGGAAGGTGGGAATGAGGAGATTCTGCGGGGCGGGCAGCCAAATGATGATGAAACTGAAGTTCAAATGCACATGTCGTCACCGCCCATCTCATCTGAGCCAAATGAGGATCGGCACAGGTACCGCCTTCGGCTTGTTGGCGGTACTGTCCTGGCCGAGGAGCAGGAGCAGGAGGAGGAGGAGAGCGATGCCGTTTCGTCATCGGTGACGAAAGTTTCAGTTTGCGGCTGGCTACAGTCGCTCGCAGCGCCGCGACGCAAGAGGTTCTGGTCCGTGACATGCCAGACATACGGTCGGTATGAGCAGCACGACCGACCGCTCTTAAAGCTGAGGACGGATTCGTGTAGCTTTCAGCCGGTCCGGACTCACATGAACGCCTCCTCCTCCCCTCCTCCTCCCCCCTCTGGGCGCAGCGCGCGCACGTTGACGCTCGCCAGGACAGACTGGCCCAGCCAGCCAGCCAGCCAGCCAGCCAGCAGCCCTTCAACGAACTTTCTTCCCAGCTCTACTTGTTCGACCTTCTTACGAGCCTGACGGGTTCTCAGAACGAGAGCCTGGACGAACCGAATGGCCCTCGGTACAAATCGGATCGGCAAGGTTTGGCTTAGGCCCTTGCGGTTGACGTCCGAAGTCATCTCTTTGACAAATAAGTCGATACGGCTGGGGTTAGGCTGAAGAGCGAGCCGAGCGCGGGCATGATTGCGGACCTCGATTCGTGCTTTCGTCCAAACTCGCCCGCGTTCGGGAGGAGGGGGGGGGTGAGAGTCGAGCCATGGGCGGAAGGGAATTGCGCAAAGTGTGAAGAGGAGCGTCAGGCAGAGCGTCACTCGTGCATAATAAAGCGAAGGGGGCGTCACGAGATACTTTCTTCGGAACAACTTCGGTACAGCAGCCCCACGAGTGATTCACGTTTCTCGAGGTGGGGACGGGGCCGAGCCGAGCCCACTTGGTAGCCGTCGCCGAGGGAGAGCCACATAGAGTTTGACTCGCCATACGGTACAGTACTCGTCTGCACGGCATGACCGCGCCGGGACGGATCCCATTAGCCCCTTGGACTTGTCCTGTCCCGACATGGTATACATGACGCGCGAGTGCGCGCAGGATCTGTGTCTTTCCCAAATCCCTCCCCCAGGCCCCCTCCTTCGCTCGCTCTCTCAGCATGTCCGGACCCGAGCGAGACACACACTCCCAGCAGGTTCCGAGAGAGAGAGAGAACGAGAGACGAGACGAGACGAGACGACGACAAGCCACGCAGGCCCATGGCTGGGTCTCGCCCCCTGCCCTCGCGCCAGCTATTTTGCTCTTTTCTTTCCTTTTTCAGGCTTTTTGCACCTCGCTCGGTGCGGCCCGTAGCTGCAGCTGCGGCTCCGCGCACCTGCTCTGAGACTCTGAGAGTCTGAACCGCTGCCTCTTCGTACTGGATTTTGTGTCGTTCGTAACTCATAGGTCCAGCACGGCTATCCAGATTCACAGCCGAGCCAGAGCACAGCTCGAAATAAGGACCAAGAAGGATGTCACCTGTGCTCCCATTTAGGCCAGTCCACGTACGATAGTACTGCTTGTCCGAGCGGCAGCTTTAACTGGAATTTTTTTTTCCCCCTGCTGCTTGTTCGAGAAATATACTGCGAAACAAGATCTAACTCTTGAAATCTGAGTCGAGTCGAGTTGGAGCTCGATAGGGTATATTCTCTTTCTTGCCTGAGTCGCGAATATATAAAGCCACGGAGCCTGTGAAGTCATGTGAATCATTGTATGATGGACTTTTATTTTGGTCGTGTCGGACGACGGCTGATGCAGGCCTGAGATCGAGAGTGATTTCTTCTCTCGTTGCTGCAGATATGAGCCATCGCACTCGGAAGACACATGGAGAGCGAGGCATCAGTATTCAGTTAAATCGGTTTGCATCTACCATATAAAACTACTTTCGAGACGCGGATGTCAAAAGCAGATGCTACGTGATGATCGATCCGGCCGTGCACATTTACGACTGGGGTGATGGATCGGGGATAAAATTATATAAAATCAATCTGCTCTGAAAGCATGACGCCGCCGGCTGGTCGTCCTGGAAGTAAGCCATCAAGTTCCTGTAATAATGGTCGTGCCTTTCCGCTTCTTAAAAATAAGAATAATGGCCTGTGGAGACTTGGATACAGTGTTGTCAAAGCTATCACGAGTTGTGGATGGATTCCAGGTTTTCCGATACGAAGAGTACACGTTCTATCTTCTAAGCTCGAACACAGGAGGATCTTCATGAATGGTTCTAAGGTCAATTGTCTGCATAAACTATTATCGGCAGGCAGAGGCCAAAACATAGATGAAGAAAGAACCGAGAGATCTGCTAGTGGGGTGCAGCTCGCAGAGTAATGCTCTGTACTTGGAGATCCACTAAGACAACGATAGAGATACAATAATTGCAAACTGTGCAGGGCCATAAGTAGACTTGTTTTGTACCACGCGGGATTTTCCAGGAAAGGTCATCTTGAACAGAATTATATTAAAATTCCTGGATGGAATGGTCACACATTGGGCGGACACGATTTTTAAAAATTGCACAACACCTTGCTTACTACATCTTGACGCCATCGGTAGCTTGGGTATCAAAGTTGGTGCTTTGAAAGCAAATGAGTGCCTCCAATATGTACCTAATGTCTTCTCCAAATGGCAGCTATGATCGACAGATTGTACAAGCTCTTTTGGCATGATTATAAAGTTTGGGAATCAAAATGACTACAACCGATACGTAACCCTCTGTGCATTTCAGTCCAGATCTAATGTCCTCAGCGTGGAAATTTGACGACAAAGTTTCAGATGTGCACAAAAACCATACGAACGACATACATCTATAGATACGGTCACTGTGACTCCGATGTACATTTTTCAGGTACCTATTCACCTCTTTGACTGTTTTCTCAACTCGCCCAGCAGATGAGATCTTGGACCATATATTATCTGCAGTTCAGTGATCCAAGCTCTTTCACTTCGTACATGACACACATGTTACATCTGCACCTATACTGTAGTCATGATGTACATAGGTAGTGCAGGGTCATGAAGTTGCTCTGGAGCTACCCTATAGCCTTGCGCTGCCTTGACTAGATGGATTCGAAAGATCCTTCGAATTGGTACGTCACACAAATGTTGTATCTGCAGCTCTACTGTAGTCTCGGAGCACGCATGTTCCAAAGATTCCATGGTATCCTCTCTGCATCTTTTCTTAAATACAGTACACTGCTTCTGAAAAATATTCTGTGCTGGGTGCGTCCTTGACATTCAACCTGTCTACCGTAGTGAAGAAAGAACACTCAGTTCGCTTTAACTTTTACTATTTGAATATCCGAAGATCTAAACATGTAACGCATAAGAGAGGAGCCATTCTAATTGAGGCTATGAGCTGAACGTCAAGAGGTGACAGCGAGTTTCAGATTCGACATTCTGAGTTAAGGTCTCATGTACAAATGGTAGTGGTGCATCCAGTACTGTTATATGACACGGCTGACATGTTCGGCATTTTTAAGCAGATGGAAGTTTTTGTCAAAAGGAGAGTGAATATATTGCACAGATGTACAGCGTAAGAAGTTAAACGGGTTAATTGGAAGCTTGCTTCCGCTCGTATAGACGCGTCAGTTTCAAGCTGCTTGAAAGAAAATACTCTAAATTGTGCTCCTTGTGTTTGTATCTCCAATGTCCTGGGAAAAAGCAGAAGTGTATGGACTTAGATGAGCTGGATTGGAGTACACTTTGACTTACACAATCTTACGCACTCTCCCTGTGTACGAGACGCTGTGTAGGAACTGAAGATTGTTTCATGAAGTGTCGAGTGATGATTCAGGACTGTACAGCCTGCTGAGTGCCGAGCAATCCTCTCATTGTAAAGGTAGATTAATGTATATCGTACGTTGACACCTTTGTCTTCTTTGAAAAGAATGATGTGGTTTAGCGTGAATCATTTCGCAGAAGATTCACATTTTCAAGTCCATGCTTGTGCAACTTCTTACTACCTCAAATAGATATTTGAAGGATATTTCAGTAGTACTCCATGACGCTACACAGGAATATGTAGATATTTCAGGGGCTGCTTGAGTACATTTGTTAATTAACATATTCCAGTCCAGGTATTCGACATATCTGTAGCGTTTCTCGTCCTTACATCTCATTGGTGCCTGACTCCTAGCTTCAATTCAAATCCTCTAGCCGCGAACTCCCCTAATCCTTGACAAATTGATGGTATCGAAAAGAGTGGTGCACTGAAAGAAAAGTCCATTGCACCAGATTCATCTTCATACTCAAGGCCCGGGACGTGACTACTGACACAAGCAAGAACTCCAAGCAAATTTGGTAAGGAAAGTAGTCCACGACTTTCCATAGTTGATACCATAAACGGCTATTAGAATCATCGTGAGTACAAACTCTAGGAAATGATCACTGTGATGGTGTGATGGGCAATGTCGACATTTTGAAACATAAGAAAACCGTCGAGGCAAGATACTGAGAAGATACACAACATCCAGCTCATAAATCCAAGGGAGTAGTCAGGAAGTAGTGCAAAAAAATTTTACTATCGAATAGAAGGTGGAGGCACATAAATATGTAGGTGCATGATTGATCAATGTCACTTTCAAAAAGAGTGTTAAGTGGTGCTCTGGCAGAAGACTATGCTAGGTACACTAGGGTAGACGGCTTCTGGCCGAAAACATACTTCACTTAGAGCTGATCAAGCACAGTACGTACATGATGAGAAATCCTGTAGGGAGAAAGAATAGGACACTGAACCATGTAAGCTCCACCTCCCTGAGCAATTTACTTACAACCTAGAGATAGCTTAATTTAAATTACTGTACTTAAGTTACTAACCTGAAAAGTACTAGGGTAATAGCACCTAGCTAACGTAGGAGCTTCACACGCTCTGCACATAAGCGCACGCACAGTCGAGATGATCGGTGCTGCCAAGAGATGAGGGACCATGTGCTCTGGCTCTGCCACTGGAACTACGTCGCTGAGTAGTCAACCATGATCCAGAACATCATCCATCATCAGCATCAGCATCATCCGCAAACCGCATGTAACCTCAAAACTTCTTCCGTCATCTCTAGGTCGATCGCTCTCCTGCAGGGAAGAGAGGAGTGCGTGCAGAACAGTCGTGTCCAGGCTGGATAGCGCTCTGAAGGGTGTGAGGGACGATGACGACTTGACTTAGGCACGGCAGAGGCGGGCAAACCACACAAGAGAAGAGCCTCGAGATGATCTTCCATGAGCGCCGTAGAACACTGCAGTCAAAACCCATCCAAGAATCTACCTTCCCAGCGAGGTACCTAGCCAGCTACAGCAGCAGAGCTAGAGAGAGCAAGCAAGCAAGCAACATTCGTGGAAAGCAGTCAGAGCTCAACCGAAGGCTCGGAAACCCCAAACTGTGTACAGTCGAAACAAAGGAAATATGGACAACCCTACCACCCGCACCAACAAGCGCCGAAAATACTTCAAGCCTACATCTGACATACCCTCCACATTCATCCACCCTCACAACCCTTCATCAACCCTGTGTCCGGCCATCATCAACAGCTGGCCATACCAAATGTGGGTATCTATTTCAGGATCGTTCACAGCTGTGGCTTCGGTACGCCGAAACGGGATGTCACATACGTATGATGTCGGGACAGCACCTTTACATTCTCTCACAGAGAACCCAAACAACTCAATCTCTAGGACGAGCAGACCAAAGGGAGCTCAATGCTCGCAGCCGGGCAAAATAGTCCCCCATCGCCAGAAGACCACGGGCTGCTTGCCGTGTTGTTAAGATACGATACATTTGCTGAAGAGTCTGTTGCCGAAGATTGTCGGCCTGCAGAACAACAAATAAATCAATCAGTCGAGCATCGCATCGCATCGCGAGATTCAAGCGCACGTGACTACGCGTTCTAGCCCTCGTCGTGCAGCGGGTTAGACTTCACGGGGGTTCAAAGACAATTGCCTGTTGCAAATACCTGGCGTACGAAAGATTCCAAGGTGCCAAGCTTGCCCATGGCCATCGCCATTTGCCCCATATAGTTGGCCACATTCGGAGATGAGCCCAAGGAACCCGCCGCTAATGTGTCTGCTAGAGACTGCTGTAGTGCCTCCATACCCTGAGATAAAGCATCTTCAGCCTGTTGCGACGACTGTTGAAGATTGCAGATACCAAGCAACTGCTGCTCGGTCAAGGGTTCGATTTGAGGGATTAGAATCTGCACAAGAGCCGAATCGCGGTGTTATTACGGGATCATCGGCATCCGGCAGTCGGGAAACATTCATGTCGAGCAACCTGGCTGACGTTTGCCGATGTTCCGGAGGTTTCGTGGAATCACGTCGCAGCAGCACAGGTTCTTTCTAAGTCGATGTCAGGAAAAACGACCCCACATCGACCGCATTCACTCAGATCGGCGACGGACCCTGGCCATCTCTAGGACGTACCTTCAGAAGCTCAGACGGGCGGAATCCTCCCATCCACATGAAACACCGCTCAGCTGGTGTCTTCCACATGCCCGAGACGAGGTGAAATACATCCGCCTTCGCCGCGATACTCTTCAGACGAAAAATCTCATCGTAGTGAGCCATCCCTCCATCCACTAATACACGAAGTTCGTTGTCGGCGACGTGCGCCTGCAATGCGGCACGAAGGTCGCACATTTGACGGATCTGCTCGTCCACCCACCGCCCATACTCCATGTCGAAGGCAGCGGCGCCTGAACCAGTCGACAACGGACCACGGTTATGATCCCGATACGTGCGAACTCATGACAAAATCTCGAAGCTCAATTAACAACGCATCCGGCGTAGGTATGTGCCAATTCTCTCACTCTCCTACGGTACAGCTAGCCACATCTGACCTGCCTCGGAGAATGGGATGGAAGCATGGAACCTGACAGAGCGGGATGCGGCCAGGGCACTTACCGGGATTGATAGCCCCGTTGACGCCATTACCTCCCACACCATGGGGGTTCTGGTCCCCGTAACCACCCAGATGATAGACTCCCTGCACACGTTCCCCTCTGACCGTCATCAGCTGAACCCGTGCCAAACAACACTGTATTACCATCAATTCGTCCCGAAACCACATATTCGAAGCAGTGATTACAACAGAAGCGAGCGTGCGTGCATACGTGCGTAGAACAACTACTCTGGTCTGTACTAAATCAGAAAACTCCTCGAATCCAAATAGCAACACGGTACGGAACTAACCTGCTGCCTGGCCCGCTGCAACTCCTGCTCAAGCTGATTGAGCTTGATTCGGCTAGACTCGAGTTGCTGCACATAAGCCTGCGTCCAAATAAGAGTGACCGGGTGAGATTGAGCCAAAACTTCCATACTTGTCTGCTTCGACGTCTACCAATAGAAAAAGTTGGCGTTCCCACGCAGCTTGTATTCTGAACTCACCTTCTTCCGCAGCCGGGATTTTCGGGCTGCTTCTCGATTTTGCGCTAAGCGCCGCAGTGCCTGGGCAGAAAAGATTGACGACGGTCAGATCATCACCCACACCAAACTCTTCGCCTCGGAAAACTTGCATCCTAATGACTAATCAGCAGCAGCAAGGCTGAATTCGGTTCGGTGGGTTCGCCAACTTACTTTGGAGTCACCATTTTTGGTGGCTTCGTGATCGGAGGCATTGGACCCTGCATTAGCCCCATGGTGTGCATCCTCCAACTGCGCGCACAGTGGAAAGAAAACCGCATGAGACTGCTGCAATTCTCGTATCCACAGTTAGCTATTCATCGGTGCAGACTGGGGACGATGGGCCATTTCATAAGCAAGAGGTACGGAATCCGGGCACTAGGCAGCCACCGGTTCCGCTTGCTACAACGAAGCACATCGAGGATAAAATATAGAAAGCCCCCATGAGAAAAGAATGTACAGCAATTGCTGCAGCTACGATCCTACCGCAACCTCCCCGTACAAGGAGGTAGTGTGTATGTTTACCCAGTTGTCTACCTTCACGTCAGCTTCCATATCAGTAGAGGTATCAGTACGGGGGCTATTATCAGCCATCCGTGAGTCTCCCCAATGTTCAAATTGCCTGCTTGACGGGGACTCAAAGCTCGGGTGCCTTCTAGGTGTGAAGTGTGCAGATCGCGAATCTGTGCTTGCAGCGGATGGGGAAGTGACCTGAGACGACTGCTGCTGCTGCTGTTGCTGATTCGGCTGTTGTCGTTGCTGGTGCATGCCAGTGAGCATGCTTACATCAGATATATACAAGCGCCACCAAACTGCAGACGTTCATTATTGACACATAAAGATTCCTCTGCCTCTGCTAGTCTGCGGGAGGTTTAAAAGGAGACAAAAGGAGGGCGAAAAAATTCGTTGATTGATCGATGCAGTAAACCCACAACTCCTTACCTTGTTTGCGGTGTCACTGAAGCGAAAGGGGCCTGACTGCAGTATGTGGAGCGTTGGTCGCGATGTAACAGTCGAATCTGCAAAATGCGCCATGGATGACTCTGTGAGCTCGACAAAATGGCAAGCCTACTTTCTCGCACTCGGAGGCACGACACAGAGCAAACCAGTTGTCCAATTCCGAGCTTCATCGAGTTCTAAAATTCTCGTCATCCTGAGCTGAGCTCGAGAAACGACTCGCACCGAGCCTACTGCGCTAGGGGCACACGCCGCACGTGAGACAATTCTTCATGCCTGTCCACGGACCTTCACAGGCGTCACGCTTACATCATCCATGCGTAATCACAATCTCGTAGACCTGTCAGGCCTGGGCTCTCGAGGCATAGCTTCAGGGAGGACTAAAAGTGGACCGGTGTTCTGAGAACATGAATTAGAAGGCGAGGAGCGGCCCGGCCAGGCCAGGCGCAGGATAGCGTGCCACCAGCACACCGAGGGCGAGAAAAATTCGAAAACATCGAACTGAATATCCGGTTGGTGAATCGACATCGGAGGACCATTAGATGTACACATCGGTACCGAGCATGTCGCGACTGTGTCGCGTCTACCGATTCCTCGCTGACCTTCCTCGGGGTCGAGATCGGAATTCCCGGGAGGAAGTGAATCTTCTATGGTGGTCGACATCTGCACGCTTCATCCGATTCCCTGAACTGCCGGATTACGACTACGGAACTGCGGCTGCGACAGCGACGGACAGCGAGGACACGCAGGTTCGTTCGTGGCCTGACGCAGCTTAGCACCCGATGATGACGGTGATGATGATACCCGCTCCGGACCGATGTTTCGACTCGAGAGTAAGGATTGATTTCCAGAGGGCTACAATGGATTTCGAACCGATCCGGATGGGAGAAAGGGTCACAGGGGGCACGGACCACCGGAAGCTCAATAAATACCAGACAGCAAAATGTGGCCAGAGCGAGAGAGTACAGTACTGTGGAGGAGGTACAAGAGATAGAAAAAATTTGATGATGATGATGACGATGAGAGGAGTAGCATACGGTCAACACCTACGTCTTTCTCCAAGGTCTAGCTCTTCGTCCAGATTGAAGCTAAGGGGTTGCTCAAGCTCTCCGAGGTCGTATCCTCCAGTGTGATCTTTGATTGGCTCCGCACCAAAACTTGCTCTGATTAAGACAAGCGCGCTCATGTTAGGTGCTGAAGAAGACAGACACAGCTCGTAGCTGAAACCTCTCATCCGAACGGACACCATACCACCTTGACGCTCAACCTCCTCAACAGTCTAAGGTTGCTACTGAACCTCCCTCCCCATCTTTCCCTGCCATGTTCTACTTTGGAGACAACAAAATGGTAGGCGCAAGATTTCATCGGAGGATCCTTCGCACCGGTTTCCCAGATGCCATGCTTCTTCAGGGCGGCAAATTACTCTGAGAATGACAGTGCGAACTCGAATGTGAGTTCCGACGATGCCTCACAAATTGTCAAGCCGCGGTGCGGGGAGGAAGTCAAAAATTCAGAAGAACTTTTGATCCCGGGGAGATTAGGCAGTCGTGGACTAGGCCTCGTCTTCAACTCAATTGCTCACTGTCACACCATCGTGTCATTCAGGAGAAGCTTCGTCGCGGAATCGACAGTGCCCAGTTGATGCAACCCAATCAACTGGCTGCTGCTTCATCTATACTACATGGTGGAATAAATTTAATGCAAAGTTGCTACCCCAGAACAGGTATCCAAGGATACGTTCCCCTTTCGACCATCTCTTTCAGGATGCCCTTCTCCTGGTCGCCAAATCACCCCTACACTGCACGGGGGAAAAATCGGTGCCACCACCCACCAGACGTCCCCCGGTGGCCTGAACGAATCTACTGAAAACCAGGAGCAATTTCGGCCTTTGGAAGTGTTTCCAGAGCTACAGATAAGTCGAACGATCCACAAGTGGAGGATACAATAAGTCGAGCTACGACTGGAGTTCTATGGTACAGAGACGTGGTACAACTCAGGAGGTGAAGACTATACATGAGATGAGGAGGTGAAGACGATAGGCCTTGCATGCCGTGGAGTACAGGGGGCGATGCTGATGCGATAGGCGCGGGCACCCCAGGTCCCCGCTGCCCTCGACTATTTGCCATGCACTTCACAGGCTCTCATCCCCTCCCCGGTGTCTAAACCTCAGAAGTAAACTCTTCCACTAATCTTCATCTCCTTGCGCCTCGAGTTGCTCTCAGTCAGTTAGTCAGTCTGTGTGTCGCAGAAGCAGCAGTAGCAGCAGCCACAGAGGTTGCTGCTAGAGCGAGTATTTCGTGCACCAGCTCCTCCTTCGCGTGTCGATCTCAGTCGTTGCTGGGTCACAGCCGGAGCGAACTTGGGCGGGCAGGCAGGCAGGCAGAAGACGAAAACCCGAGGTTGTGTGAGCAGCTCGGACGACCAATCCACCAAATCAGGCAGCGTCTCTTCTCGCCTTCTTCGCAAATCAGTGCCTCCTATCCCTAACTCGAAATTTCACACTTCTGCTGCAAGCCCCCTTCTCTTCTCCTATTTTGGGCCAGTCAGACTGCAGGCTGTCTGTCCTTCACTCACCCGTTCCTACAGAATCCTGAAGCCCCATCCATCTCCTCGCGCGTTTTCTCCACACCGAGAGTACTCCCTCCCTTGGGTGTCTTATTGGACAGGCTTCAAGCACACCAATAAACTACTCTGTCGTCCATGAGCCAGAGCCTGAGCGTCGACGAGCTTGGCAACGCGAGGCAAAACGTTATGGAAAAGGTCGACGCAGCGCTGCCGAGCCGCACCACAGAGTGCCGCCAGGCGACTCCTAGTACGAGAATAGTACTCGACAGCCGATCTCTCTCTCTATCTCTCACTCCCCCTCCCTCTCTCCCCCCGACTCTCCGTCTCGGTCGCTCGTTAGGACAATAAAGTGACTTGCAGTGGCGTGCCGCTTCCCGAGCTTTCTGAGCCTGAGCGCTATGCTGACGCTCGACTAGTAGATATATTTCACTCCATCGGCCAGACAGTGTAGATTTCACTCACTGCTTCACTCACTCCTTGATCGATATAGATAGATAGAGGCAGCAGGAGGATGAAGATGGGCAGGGGGGGCGCTGTAGTCTGTCGTTGTCTCGCTGGAGAGAGGAGCACCAGCCGAGTGATGAGCAGCAGTGGCAAAGTAAAGCGCAAGGTGACACTCCGATGTTTTGTGCTGATGGAGAGATGATGTGTATGAGAAGGAGGAGAGGCTCCAAGGGAGGAAGGCGAGCAGCAGCAGCAGCGGCAGCTGCTCTTCCTGTGTGAGAGAGTGTGTCCGTCCGTGTGTGTGTGGGAGCAAGAGGAAGACAGTGAACCTCGCTGCGAGAGCACAAGTGATGAGGAGGGCCTTTCAGTCAAAGGGAACGGCCCCCGGGTCAAAACGCCGCGAAGGCTACTTTTTTAATCACCGGGTTAAACGTGATTTCTTTCCGTTATTACGGCTCGGGGTAATTTCGGAATTCGTTCGCTTAGCCGAGCCGGATCGCCCTACCGCACAAGCTCGCTCCCGGTTTAGCTCGCCGGCGGCGGTACAGCGCTAAAACCGTGCGATCGAAACCGCCTTCTCGCCTTACCGCCTAGCACTGGCTCCCCCCGTACCGAACCTGCGTCGCATTCGATTACCAGACCGCCACCGGCCAGAAGCCAGTTGCCTGCGACTCTGCCTCGGCCTGCCCCGGTTGCCCACAAAGGCTACCCGTTGCAGAGGGGTGGGCAGAGCCTTGGAGACGAGCTCGAGAGGCTCGACGGCTTCAGAGGCTTAGGGCGAGTCTGAGAGCAGCTCAGGCTGGCGGATGGAGTCGCGTCGCGCTGCACTGCACTCGGGTGGGCTCTGGGGCAGGCGCATTAGGGGCCGACCCCACCCTGTCCGAGCATTACCCCTTGCCCCCCTTGCTCTTCTCTGGTCGGTCGGTGCCTAGTGAAGAAAGCCTGTGGCGCAAAATGTGGTGCCGGAGTTGAAATCCCTGGGCCACAGGGATTTCAAATCCGGCACCACATTTTTTATTAATGGCCGATTTACCAGAGGCCCTCTCCACAGGGCATCCCGAAAAATCTGTGATGGGAGCCCCACTTGGATTTAATTCTGCTCTTATTTTATTGCTCGTTTTTCTGCTCTGGGTCTCATAGAGAGAGAGTGAGTGAGAGAGCAGTTGGCTACTCGGGGAAGGAAGCTCCTTCCATAAGTCGGATTTTCCTTTTATCTGGTCCCTCGGTTTTCGCCAATCAGAGCATTTTCCCGCTAATTCTCTTGGCTTTTCTGCGCCCTTTGGCGCCCCTCCCTTACTCTTTTCCGGCTGCAAGCTGCTGAGTGAAGCAGAAAAAGTCTTCCCGAGGAAGAAGGAGAAGACGGACGGAGCGCTCGAGTACGCTTACTCGCTCGCTCTATCATTATACTACAACCACTCTCAACGGAAGCTTTTTGGGTTCAGAAAGAGCGGAATAGAGTCGAGACGGGACGACATGTGATTTCACGTCCTTCGCCGCTTGTGATAACCAGCTAGCCCTTGCTTTTGTTCCTCTCATAATTCATTTCCGCGAGAATCTTTCATGTCCCAGACTAGAACAGTGACAAACTGCTAGATTTTTATCCTCGCGCATTTTCGCCCTCAACCCGTACCTGCCTGCGCAGCTAAAATGCTTGACTTTCCATTCTCAATCCAATCATGACATAACTTAGACGGAGCGAGGACCCTTCACCTTCCTATGATGTAGTATGAACTACGCTGGCTCGCTGGCAAGCTCGCTGGCTTGGAGGAAGGAAGGAAGCTCGAAGACTCGCAACAAATGACAAGTGAAGCTGAGGTGCTGAAGAAGGGAAGCACACGTGAAGTAAAGGGCGAGAAACGTTGCGTTAAGACCTGGGAGAGAAGTTGGAGTGAGGGCTGCCTATCCCCAAACTGTTCAACGAGGAACAAGTACAAGCCAAGTATGATATCAAGAGAAAGAACAAAAAGGTCATCCATTAGCTGAAGTGAACCAACCCCGTAATCGAAACCGAGCCCACATTGTATCTCCTATTTTAATTTCCTCCCATTACTGAAGATGACACAAGCAATCAAGCAGACACGAAGTATTCGTATTGGAATCCCATGTCTACGACTCGTTTTTCCTCTTTGTCCGCTCATCTTCTCAACTTTGGGCGTCCTGCGCATCTTTAGTTTCGTGTTGGTTTATTGTAGTTCACGGCATGCACATCCAACAAGAGCGAGTGTATGTTGTCCTCCTGGTACTTTGCAAAGACCATTGAGGCATCCTCATCTTACAGAACGAAAGTTAATTCCTCGTACCTACATAGCTGTTGGATCCTTCCTAAACTGCTTGATCACACCATCTCAGAAGTGTAGAGGTCGCGAGCCTCTACTACAAGGTCGACTTTACCTCCTTCTACCGTAGCACAGTCTACGTTGAGCCTGAATCTTGTCTCGAAGAGATGACAGCCCCCGGCTACACATGAAACACCGTCCATAAAGCAAACAAGGACTTGCCTACACATCCCATCACCTCTCTACACTCGAGCGGATTTCACTTGGACTACCACTGCTTGTGTTTCCGCTTCGCTAGTGCACGATGATCATGCACAAGTTCCCCGCCCAAGTTTCACTTCGAGTGTCACAAGATGTCCATTTTGTGCTTGACGCTTTAAAGACATGAGTCGGAGCGGCAAGTGGAGCCACAAAATGCAAAATGACAAAGAGTCAATACAAACACGCAGACGCATGTCTCATCGATGCCCAGCACCGTCTTGACTCAGAGAGGCTCGAATACATTGCCGGTACTGCAACGTGCTCGCGAGGCCAGCATGTTACATCACCTTCGTCGTCCTCACCATGCTCGGAACCGGTCGCCGGTCGCAAACCCGGTCGCCGGGGTAGGAGTACGTACACAGTTAACCTGCAGTTCGGATCGCAGTCTGCGTGGAAAGGCTCTGTTGTTTGGCAACCGAGTTAAACGTTTCGGTGTAGTTGGCGTCGTGTTTGGGTCTGGTTTCGCAAGGTGTGGAATAAATACTTTCCCTTTATGTTCATCGGCTTCTTCCTTCTTTAGTATACAAGAACCGTTTAGATTTATTTGTACGTGGAGTAGTCCGTTGCTCGGACGAAACAGATCATATTTATCGGTTAATATTAAATTCTCATGCACGATGATGCATGGCAGCCTCAGAGGAGATAACGAGACGGTAATAGACTTGATATCCCTCTCGATGACGAGATTGATATCTTCGTACATCACCTAAGGAAAGCTTCCATTAATCCCAGTTTAATCGTCCAAGTCAACAGCGTCTTGTGAGGAACTAAAAACTAGTGACGGCCGAGTTTCAGGTATTTCCGCTCTATCGTGCACTTTCTTGTTCTCTGGACGCTTTAGAAAAGTTCAGCCGTCTTACCGAATGACTCAACTCAAAAATCACAATCTTGTAAACGTACCCGAGATTTTGCATGATGCGGCTTCTTATAAAGAGGTCTTACTAAGCACCAACGCATCGAAAATATACGTGCCTTTCTCCGTGAGGGCAAAACGTCGGAGCTAATGATTTGATTGTGTCGAGCATAATTGTTGATCGACCACGTATGGTATGTGTGCAATGTCTGCAGCTGCTGCGCTTGTTCGAGGGTATAACTCTCAGAAAATGTGATGAAGACTTCGTGCCATATTTTGACCTCTCAACAAAGTCACACGAGATATTTTCGATACTCCAGTTATGACAATTTCGAGGAGCTTTTGTAACCATATGGAGAAAGCATCCTAGTTCAATAGTCATCCCTGATATTGACAAAAGAGCTCGAGCCAAAAATCTGAGAAGGACTTTCGTGAATGGACGAAAAATATGACTAGGGGATTGGTCAACGTGAAAGATGAGGAGCACAATAGAAAACGAACACTGTACCTGGAAATCAACCACCGAAGCCCAGCCCTAAGCATCAGATGTGGTAGTGTTTAAGTTGAGAACAGTGGCATGGGAAAAGTGGAGTGGGCTTACTTGAAGCAGGGAACGGCGGAGTATCTTTTTACGAGTCCCAAAGCGATGAGATAGCTGAACTAAACATTTCTACAAAGCCTGCTGCATCTTATGACAATGCAAAGAAGATGAAGAAACATTATCGTGCGGTGCGGTGCGGTGCCCTTTTGTTACTCAACCCAAGTGCAGATCCAAAAGCCCCAAGCTTAAAAGTAGCATCATGTGGATCGGGACCGAAAGCCCTCCCGTTCTCTCTTGCTCTCTCGAGATGTTGTTGGTGTGGGTGTGCGACGCCATGCAATGAAATTCTGGTCTGAAATTGGAGGGTTGCGAAAGAGTGCGACGCTCAAAGGCCTCAAGGTCCTCAAAGCCTTCTCGCCGGTCGTGTCAGGTGCAAATGATTATGCGGTAGCAATAGCGATGTGACATCACTCCTTTGCCTTAGAGCGCCCAGGAATTCATCCCTACCTAACCCGACCAAATATATTGAATATCCCGTGCAGGAGGAGGCTCGAAACCTTTTGCGTCCAGACTGAATCGACGTTGCCTCGCGCGTTTCAAACTGTTACAAGCTTCCTTTACTAGAAAGTGGCAAAACCCAGTCGGTCGACGGAAAAGGGCGGGCAACATCGACAGTAACAACGACAACGACGCTTATAAATGCGAAGAGCGACGACATCCCACCTGAACAGTGGAAAGGGGAATAGCGAGAAATGCCCACACGGAGACTGGATGGAAGGGCACGGGCAAGAGCAAGATCCAAGCCAAGACCAACAACATCCCTTTGCATCGGCGGGTGGGAACAACACCAACAACAACAACGTTACCAACAGTGTCGTCGAAGCGCCATGGACAGTGGTTGTGTAGTTAATAGAACAAGCGTGAACAGGTACGCTGTCCTTAGTGAAGAGTAGAACAAAGTGCTTCTAGAGTTCAAATTTCTGCAAGCATCAACAGTAAAAGTGTGTCTTGCCTGTGATCATGCATTGGTGAGCGGGGTTTTGGTTTTGGGCTTCTTAGCCATGGAAAGCAGAGGATGAGGAGGAGGTCACAATGGGGTAAAATGACCACATGGGACCGTAAGGTGAGGGATGATCGAGCCAATGGCAGCCCCGCCTGAGAGTATTGAAAGAGAAACCCCACTACTGTTGAAAGCACTTGTCTCATTAGTAATTATTGTGGCCGATGCTTGGGATAAGTATTGGGTCCCACTAAAAGCTTACGTTAAGAATCTCAGAAATGGGCCGAGGTGGTGGTGGGGTTTCAGCGGGAGCGAGAGAATCATTTAACCTGTATAGCTTCACCAACAAAAATGCCCAAAAAGGTGACAT